GCTAGTTTATTCTAAGTACTTCATCTTCCAATTGAGGAACCACCACCGATTGTATAGAAAATAAGAGTGGTAGTTTGTCAGCATTCAACGTTTTTTGAACTGATTTTCTTAACTTCTTCGTATTTCTTTCGCTAGGTATATCGCCCTTGAATAGCAGTCATATGTATAAAGGCTTCTTGTTAACGGATAGTGAGTGCATAGTCCTTTTCAAATTTCTCAGTCATATGTTTCCTGATGAATCTGTTTGGAAAGCTATTTTCCATCAATCAAGATGTCATATACAATCCTTAGTTCATCTTCAATTATCTCTTCTGAGCATATAGCTCTAACCGTGTTGTGGCTGAGGGTCCTTACTAAGTTTCTTTTGTACTGGAGAGTAACAAAGCTATGAAAAGGTGTATATTGTCTTGTCCATGTGCTTTTCCTATGCAAATTTCTCCTTATACTACCATCTAGCATTCTTGTGATGAGGACATCTAGGAAGTGTGTGTAGCTCACTGTTAACTGAAACATCATTCACACTCAAATTGGCTTGCTCATTAACGAGAAGTACTGGAAAATGCTGATTTGTACTTTGGTATTGTACTCCCTTTAAAGAAAATTATGAAGTTTCTTCAGTAAAAGAAAAGACATAACGCAGTCTGCATCGTATGATTCAGTGTACTTTCCCTGCTAACGATGTCTAATTCACAGGTGGGACATATCTACTCTCTATCCCTTTTTGTTTGGTTGGGTCCTTATCAAACTCAAAGGAAGCTGTATAACGTCTTATATCTCTAAACATAAAAAATTTCACGTTTTGTTCACCTCTATCCGTTGCCAGTTAGGTTCTTTTCAATACTGTTATCTTCTCAAGATTCCTTATCTGCCTTTCCCAGATTATCATTGCTTTTCCTCGGGATGGATTATTCATGTACCAGGTCTTGAGCCAATCTTAGGTTGCCGATGCTGAAATAGGTGGAATGATACTCGAACCTTGGACCCACCTGATGAAAACTATTGATTACTTAAGCCAATATTTCATATCAAGGAAATTCATAAATAATCTTTTGAAAATTCACGGTTTCTTATCCTAACTTAATTTAGCCTAACTTCTGTTCCAGAATCAATGACTGATCCGACACTATTCAATGCCCAGATTATTTATTTGAAATTTGACGGAAAATCTACATACACAACGTTACTCCTTGTCAAAATGATTAGTATTCCAGAGTAGATTTCATCACCAAACGATATCAGCGACAGAGATCCGAGGAGCACTGGACAGCTGTTTCGTTATGCCCACAATTCCACCAGGTGTCGAACCTGGGACAGACAGGTTTTGAGGCGAAGCTTTTCGTCGAATCCCAGACAACTATTTAGACTGATCAGGGAAACAGGTGGTAAAAGGCAAACGATAAGTGAAACAATCTCTGAGAAAAGTGGCACCATGATTATCTCCCAGGGTAGACGACTAGGACGTTGGAAAGAACACTTTGAGGAGCATTTTAATTGGCCTACAACCACATTCAACTTGCGGAACATCCAACACCACCCCGAATGGGATATAGACACAGGTCCACCGTCCCTAACTAAGGTTACTAAGGCTATCACTAGTCTGAAACGAGGCAAAGCAGCAGGACCTAATGGAATGACCCCAGAAGTATTTAAGTACGAAGGAGACAGACAGTTTCCTGTCTGCGTTAGCTAAGGTACTAGGCAGCGTTAGAAAATCAGAGGAAGTCCTGTAGGATTTGTGTAAGTCATTGATTATCCCCATATACAAGAAGGGAGACAAGCCTTCCTGTGATAATCACAGGGGGACTAGCTTGACTAATATATTATCTAAAGTTCTAGGCTCAATAATCATGCGTAGACTAAGTGGTGCTCGGAAGGCACAAACACGAGAAAACCAGGCAGGCTTTAGACCAGGAAGAGGGTGTGTTGATCATATCTTCACCCTTCGACAGATTCTAGAACATAGGCATTCCTACTGGCGTCCGACAATCACTATATTTCTTGACCTAAAGGCGGGATTCGATTCTGTCGACCGAGAGGTACTCTGTTGATGCTTGACTATAAAGGGAATGCCAAGAAAATACATTGCACTGATCAAGGCACTCTACTCGAACTCATGTACCCAGGTGAGAGCTTATAGCGAGTTGTCGTCTGAAGTGGTGACAAATACTGCTATCCGTCAGGGATTCCCGCTATCCCCATTTCTATTCAATTTCATCATAGACGTACTAATGGACTTAACCTTAACTCACTTCAGAGACTCAGGGATTGACTTGTTGCCAAGCAATAATCTCGTCAACTTAGAATATGCAGATGATATAGTCCTAGGTGAGGACTCGGACAAAATGCAGAGTCTTCGGAACGCCTTGAGATGCAACCTGTGAATGTTTGGCATGCGATTCGTTCCCGCCAAATGTAAGATGATGTCACAGGACTGGACTGGAATACATTGACTCCTAGCTTAGAAATAGGCAGTGAAGTGGTAGAGCGTGTTGACCACTTCACTTATTTGGGAAGTTGCACCAGCCAACGCCGACGAGTCGATCGTATATGCCAGTTTACGCCGTCTCTGGGGTAGACGTGGTATCTGGCTGGCTATCGACCAAAGGGCGTGTGTAGTGCTCAGCAGTCTGTTCCGTCCTCCTCTATGGCTGTGAGACATGGCCATTGAGAGTAAAGGACATGAAAAGGCTAGCTATCTTTAATCATATGTGCCTGCGTTCTATCTCCCGTGTGAAGTAGTATAATAGCGTGGGTATTATTGAGTTAGTTAGGCGTCGACTGATAGGTAAGGAGAGGAAATCAATAAACGAGGCTGTGGAGCTACATCGACTGAGATGGTTAGGACATGTGTTACGTATGTCTAGTCATCGCCTTCCTCGACGACAGGCAATGTTAGCTGACATAGGGTCAGGTTGGAAAAGAGCTAGCTAGTGGTGGTCAAACCAAAACATGTCTTCATCAGTCAATGACATCTACAACAGTTAGTTTAAGTCACGTAGAAAGATGTAGACTTCCTGGTTGGGGTCCTCAGGATGGTAAACACCAATGGCTGGAGACAACTGGTGATGATATGGCTCAAAGTCGTTCTCACTGGCACAGATGCATCCACTTTCTGTGACTTATAATACCCAACTATATTGGTCTTCGATATTAATATTCTTTTTGCTTCATATCTCTGTTTACTGTCTCTATTTTGCATTTCTTTTTACTTTCTTCTCTTGCCTTGTGTGCTGAGTGAAGTGTCGCGACTTGAACTGCTGCACATCAGTGCAAAGTTCTACGTTGAAACCAGACAGACCACTGAAGAGGACGGCGGAGAATAGAAGAAAGTGGAGATGTGTTGTTGAAGCCAAGGAAATAATAATAATAAGTTAGACCAATGTCAGAAGGACAACTACTCAGCACAGATTGAAAAAAAGTCAATTTTTATTCTTTAAATAGGATATACAAATTCTACTATATATATTGCACATTATTTATTGTTTCTTTTCTGTAAAGGTATAATAAATAAAAAATTATAAAGAAATTCGACTTTAGAAAAAAAACCAAAACTCAAATAAAATCAAGTGGTGATAGTAGTACAAGGCGAGAGAGAGAGAGAAAGAGACAACACAACACAACACCAATAGATGGGCGAATATACTCTATAAATGCATATATGTATATAATGTATATGGTGCCATGATGATATTTATGATATTGTGTGTGTTTGTATATTATGTATAAGGCTTAACAGATAAAACCTAAGGTTAAAAAAAGAATACAGAGTGTGTGTATAAATTACAATAATTCCTCTATCACAAGGTCATTATCATCATTATTATCATTATTATGATGATAACGATGATGACGGTGAGTAGTATGTTCATCACCACGGTGTGCGTTGATCTCGTCTACCGGTTGACTACCACTACTACTATTGATTGGATAATAATTGATCGATTCATCTAGATAACAAATAATATTCGGTGTTTGTAGGCCAGTGTGATAACGTGACTGTTGAACTTCATCTAAATCTAAGTATTCTCGTGTAGTGTCATCATCATTAGTAGTGGTAGTAGTATTAATACCAGCAGCAGCAGCAGGAGTTGTGGTGGTATCAGCAGTGGGAGGAACAGGAGTCACTGTAATAGCATTGTTGTATATATTCTCATCAATGAACTGAAAAGAAAAAAAACATTTGGAAGGATAATTAATCATGGTGATTCGAATAAAGCGACAGGAACACATTGGTATAAGTATAAAACGTGGGCACCTTTGGTGGTAGAGTATAACTCCAGTAGGGATAAAATTTGTATTTTATGCAGTAATATTTACTAATTATTACCACGTTTCGAGCACAATTTATTACTTCCACTCATCGTCATCATATCAAGGCATTACTCACTCACACACAACTTTCTTGCTTACATGAGTAAAAATTGATGATTAGACATTTGAATAAAATCAATCAATATAAGATAAATAATAATAATAATAATTTGCTTTATTCCAGAAACATTACTAGTGGTACAGTGTGGAATTTTCAGCACATATCTACAATATTTGCATCTAATTTTATCAAACATTTAAAGGGAGTATTTCAAAAAAAGTAAATATCAAGACACCAACAGCAAAAAAACAACTACAAAAAACACAAAATAATTTTTAAAAATGCGAAAAAATACAAGAAATAGAAAGGAAAATAAACAGCATATAATAATATCTCAGTATTGGGTAGTGGAAGCTATGATGTGATTATACATGGCGACAGTAAAGTTATAGTCATACAAGAAGTTATGAAATGATATTTAAGAATGTTTATCGCCAAGATGATCAGTTAATTTGGTTGAAACAACACTAAACGGTCATAAAATAACATTTCAGGGTTATTGTTCTGTTTTTTATTGTCAGGTTTATTGCAGTTTTTGTAGTGGTAGTGTGAGTAATCCTGCATAATACAAAATTCAAAGGTGGTGACAATGGCGTTCACAACCAAGATTGTGAGTTAATGGTGCCGAACAAAAAAGAACAACAACCACAAAAACTAATAATTAAATGATGGGGAATGACAGGACAATTTTGCAGTACTCATAGTGCTAATATAGTCGGAACCAGTAGAGACACAAAAGAAGGAATACAGTAAATTACAAAAGTAAGCCAATGTTAATAATTTAGGTATCTAAGTATGTTTAAGAAGGAGTTCACTATAGAATACAAAATAAGAGAGAAATAAAAGAGGTTAAAATTATGTTATTAATAACAAAGTAAGTCATAGGTTTTAAGCCTAACATTGTCTCTGTCACTTAGAACACGGGCCAAGTATGGTATTGTTGAGTTCCTGTACTTGGTTGTACGAGCATGGATTATTTTATACTGATTTCTGGTTCTACCTGATGAGATACAAGGAGAGAGTTGGGAATAGAGGGGGTGTTGGGGGTCGGAGAGTATGGTTTTAGACCATTTTTCGCATGTATTCAGATGCCTATCAACTAAAGTAGTGACGAGCTGACTGAGTTTTACACCACTATTCCCACTAACTACCTTCAACATCCTTCTCAGGATGGTATAGTCCTTTTTCAGTAGCCCAGGAGAGACTAACGGGGAGCAGTAAAGTAGAATAGGTAAGATACAAGAGTTGACAAATTGTGAAAGTAGAGGTTGGATAATTCCAGATTGTCTAAGTTTCTTAATGTAGTAGGTTAGACAGAACACTTTCTCAGAAATCGTTAGGATATGAGATGTCCAAGTAAGGTCGGAAAACAGAACTTGACCGAGGTATTTTGCATTAGACTTAGTTTCAGTTTTAGTCCCCTCAAAGCAACAGGCTTCATGAGTACTTACTAGTGTTTGTAGATCTCGTTTATGCCTAAGGGAGAAGTCAATAGTCTGGCATTTTGAAGGATTCAGCATGAGACCATTTAGTTTAGACCACTGACTGATATCCGACAGGAAGCTATTTAATTTGAAACAGTCTGACTGAGACTTAATGGGAAACGATACAGACACGTACATTCGGAAATAATATTGCAACGACAGAAGACAAGGGTCAGTCAACAGATCATTTATTGAGAAAATCAAGAGAGACATATATGTCCAAAACAAGTTCACTTTTAACGGTTTGAAAAAATTTGGACGTTGGGTATGTGCGATATCCATTATAATAAAGGTTTTTGTATTTCCCATTGAATGAAAAACAAAACCATATTGTTTTTACTGACGTTTCGCTATTTAATGCTGCTGCTAATAGCTTTATCAAAGTATTATTAAACCGGAATTTACAAAATCTCAGCATATATATAACAAAGAGTTAAGAGGTGAGAAAATAGACAAGTTAGGTAAAGTTGAAAGGACATATTGAAAGTTAAAATAACAATGAAATCACTAAACCAAATAACAAGGGTAATAGTACATCTGTTATGATATCAAAATAAAGTTTACTAACTTGATCATCGTTTGTACTAGATGGCTGGAGGCAATTGGCAGGAAGCCTTGGACCTAGGTTTCGTGCTAGGTGGCACTCATCAGCAAGGCGTATCTGCAACCTTGATCATCGTTTGTCAGTCTGGGGGCATTTTTTGTTGCTGTCAAGTTGGTCAATTGGTAAAGATAACAGAACCAAGTGTTGATTGTTGGATTTGATAAGTGTGTATAAAATTGCGAAACATACCAAGCATTTTATTTTGTGATGCGATATACACTACACAACCATCTCGAGAAATCAAAATCAGAAAAAATGAACACTGTAGAGCATCTGTTCGACCACCCAGGAATCCGGTTGAACTAGAAAAACTTGAAAAATCATCAGCCATAGGTGGTCTACACGCTATAGAATCAGGCCACAAAATTGATTTTGACAATATTGAAATAATCCAGAAAAACTTCAGAAATCACAAACAATGTCTGATAACAGAAGCACTTCATATCAAGTGGAATTCAACTTGCCTGAATACGAATGATGGACTAAAACATCCCCTCCCCTCCACCATGAAGTGACAAAATCAACACGAGTATGATACGCAAGTTCACTATGTAAACACACACTGCCTTTATAATTTTACACACTGATCAAATCCAACAATCTACACTTGGTTTTGTTATCTTTACCAATTGACCAACTTGACAACGAAAAATGACCCCAGACTGACAAACGATGATCAAGTTAGTAAACTTTGTTTCGATATCATAACAGATGTACTATTACTTCATATGAACTGTGATCAAGATTTGACCGGATAGTTGCAAAATAATTGAGCGCTGAGTTGGAATTAATCATTTCAATTTCGCTGAGATTTTACAAATATAATTTTATAGATGTACTATTACCTTTGTTATTTGGTTTAGTGATCTTCATTGTTATTTTGGCTTTCAATATGTCCTTTCAACTTTACCTAACTTGTCTATTTTCTCACCTCTTAACTCTTTGTTATATATATGCTGAGATTTTGTAAATTCCGGTTTAATAATACTTTGATAAAGCTATTAGCAGCAGCATTAAATAGCGAAACGTCAGTAAAAACAACAATATCGTTTTGTTTTTCATTCATTGGGAAATACAAAAACCTTTATTATAATAAATCAAGAGATATTTCTAGATTTTTATGTACATTATTATTAGCGTTATTGTTATCAGAGAAGCAAAGCCTTCTGATTGGTTGTTTTCTTGCTGAAGGTTACTCCGTACTGCTTGTGACCATTTCTTAGTAAGTTAACTCATATATATCTGTGAATCGTATTCGCACACGTTAAGTATGCTGTGATTGGTTGGTCAGTTCCTCAAGGTTAAGCTTTGTTATTGTGTTTTTTCTAATGACCCCGATTTGGGACGTAAACTGTTGTCTATAATTTCGGCTTGCAGACAGCTCTCACCACAATATTAGTGTTATCAATCAAATACAATAAGATAGGAAATGAATACTGATCAGATAAAACATTAGGCTTAGAATGAAGGCGAGTACTGCCTAGCATTCTGTAAACTTTGATATTAGTTGCTTCATTGCGAAACTAGATGTCTGAGACATAGGACATTTTTCAAGAAGTATACGACGGTGAAATTGCATAGCATGTATGTCATAAAACAATTCGAAAAAAATATCAAAGCTCAGAAGTTACCGAATGATTATCTCCCTGATTCTGTTCTTCTAGTCTCCTTTGGTGTAATCATATCATTTTGGGCGAATTGTTCGGAAAGAAAACTAACTCAACTGCACACAAACACACATCGTAATTAGCCACACTTATACAGTGAAAGCCGATGGAACCACTCGACTGTCCAAAATCAATAGATCAGTTGGTTTCGAGACAGTAATCAGTTCACTGAAAGTGGATATAATTGATGTGAGATTGTTGGAGGCAAGCGACAGTAAGCCCTGAACATTGATTTCATGTTTTTTTTGTCGCTTGTCAGCAAGGCGTATCAGCGATGTCGAAGGAAATAATGTTCCCTCTGAGATTTGAGATTTGTGTCACTGACATAGAAAGAGTGGAGTATAATTCCAATATAGATAAAAAATTTATTTTGTTAAAGTCTCACAGTGTTATACAGTAATGTTTACTGATAACGTTTCTAGAACAATTTATTGCTCATAATCATATCAAGTTATTCACACAACTTTCCAACATAAGAATTTAGCTGAGGTTAGAATGATTGACTCCACCCATGAAGATAAGTAATTTAGAAAAATACTCAGCAATAGCATTGCATGCATTAACATACAACCACACAATAGGTGTGGGTGGGACAGAGTCAAACTTCCAAAGACTAATATAGGTAGGTGGATAGAGAGGTTGATTACTGAATCCTGCCTAGTTCATCGAGTCTACACCCAATACATGAGCAACAGAAATGACTCAACGCAAATACCAGAGATACGTTTGGAAGATATTATTACCACGGGTCAAATCAGAGGAGGATAATAAATAATGTTAAAGTGTATTCAATTCAATTCACAGTATAACATTCTAACAAGTTATTTCTTTATTTAACTGTGAAAACATCTTATCTCCCATCTAATTGTAATTGATTAATAACACTCATATTATTATTTCTGAATGTACTTTCTCATCTTATATTGATTTCATTCAAGTGTCTAATCATCAAATTTTACTCATATATATAAATGAAGCAAAAAAGTTGTGTGAGTAAGTGCCTTGATATGAGATTATGAGCAGTAGTATTAAAC